TGACCCAGCAGCTCAGCTCCCCCTATTCCCAGCAGTGACCCAGCAGCTCAGCTCCCCCTATTCCCAGCAGTGACCCAGCAGCTCAGCTCCCCCTATTCCCAGCAGTGACCCAGCAGCTCAGCTCCCCCTATTCCCAGCAGTGACCCAGCAGCTCAGCTCCCCCTATTCCCAGCAGTGACCGAGCAGCTCAGCTCCCCCTATTCCCAGCAGTGACCCAGCAGCTCAGCCCCCTCTATTCCCAGCAGTGACCCAGCAGCACAGTTCTCAGCAGTGACCCAGCAGCTCAGCTCCCCCTATTCCCAGCAGTGACCCAGCAGCTCAGCCCCCTCTATTCCCAGCAGTGACCCAGCAGCACAGTTCTCAGCAGTGACCCAGCAGCTCAGCTCCCCCTATTCCCAGCAGTGACCGAGCAGCTCAGCTCCCCCTATTCCCAGCAGTGACCCAGCAGCTCAGTTCCCCCTATTCCCAGCAGTGACCCAGCAGCTCAGCTCCCCATGCCCACTTCTAGCAATGACACGGCCATTTAGCTCACTATGCTCCCCTCCCAGGAGTGACCCAGCAGTTCAGCTGAATATTATGATGCCAGAACATTAATAAAGACGACATTCTGAAGCAGATTGGTGTGAGGACAATGTATCTTTCATTGTATGTTGTGGCGCCATCCATTGTTAAGAATATGCCAACACTTGAATGCCCCTAAACTGGCCACATGTTGACTTTAGGTTTCCAGGCCTGCACGCCTACTGCAGCCATTACCAGACGTCAACATGCTCCCTGATGGATAGTTTTATTTTAAATGATATCCTTCAGCAGTTCTCTTAATGCCGGTGATCAGATGTCAATAGTCCAACCTGGAAACTGGATCAGAGATTTGGCTTTGCAGGACCGGCAGTGGAGGGAATGTGATGCAGATTTGGCTTTGCAGGACCGGCAGTGGAGGGAATATGATGCAGATTTGGCTTTGCAGGACCGGCAGTGGAGGGAATATGATGCAGATTTGGCTTTGCAGGACCGGCAGTGGAGGGAATATGATGCAGATTTGGCTTTGCAGGACCGGCAGTGGAGGGAATATGATGCAGATTTGGCTTTGCAGGACCGGCAGTGGAGGGAATATGATGCAGATTTGGCTTTGCAGGACCGGCAGTGGAGGGAATATGATGCAGATTTGGCTTTGCAGGACCGGCAGTGGAGGGAATATGATGCAGATTTGGCTTTGCAGGACCGGCAGTGGAGGGAATATGATGCAGATTTGGCTTTGCAGGACCGGCAGTGGAGGGAATATGATGCAGATTTGGCTTTGCAGGACCGGCAGTGGAGGGAATATGATGCAGATTTGGCTTTGCAGGACCGGCAGTGGAGGGAATATGATGCAGATTTGGCTTTGCAGGACCGGCAGTGGAGGGAATATGATGCAGATTTGGCTTTGCAGGACCGGCAGTGGAGGGAATATGATGCAGATTTGGCTTTGCAGGACCGGCAGTGGAGGGAATATGATGCAGATTTGGCTTTGCAGGACCGGCAGTGGAGGGAATATGATGCAGATTTGGCTTTGCAGGACCGGCAGTGGAGGGAATATGATGCAGATTTGGCTTTGCAGGACCGGCAGTGGAGGGAATATGATGCAGATTTGGCTTTGCAGGACCGGCAGTGGAGGGAATATGATGCAGATTTGGCTTTGCAGGACCGGCAGTGGAGGGAATATGATGCAGATTTGGCTTTGCAGGACCGGCAGTGGAGGGAATATGATGCAGATTTGGCTTTGCAGGACCGGCAGTGGAGGGAATGTGATGCAGATTTGGCCTTGCAGGATGGGCAGCAGAGGGAATGCGAGCGGATTACTTTATTTCAAGCCAAAAATAACTTACAAAAACTTCACAGAGCTCCAGATATATCTATAACTAACCTCCTATACGAAATCACCTCCTCTTCCAACCAACACCCTCAATGCAACAGGTTGCTGTAGTGGCCTCATGCACTTAAAAGAAAATTGTACTTAAAGGAAACCTGTACCTGTACAGTTTGAACCTGCTGCTGACCTCTGCCTTGAAAATATCAAGTGCCTGGCTGTCTCCAGCTTCAGTATTTGGAACACGCATGCAACAATTGATGTTTGTGCTCTTGATCTGCATACTTGCTGTAGGTCAGTGATGCTGAAAAAACTAAAGACACAGGATTGGAATGACAGCCAGGAAACTTGAATTTTTAGGAGATGCCAAAGTGGAGCAAGATGGCCAAGCACAAATTAACTTCCTGAAGGCAATGTGGTGGTTGCATTGGTTTTTCTTTCTGCCTTTTTATCCTTTATATTCACCTGGTGATCCTGCCAGTAACACACTTCCTGTCTTAACGTGACAACGCTCACTCGCTGTACTGTGTCTATGGCTGAGCAGTATTGTCACCCTCGGACAGGAAGTGTTTTAGGTAGGGATGCACCGATACCGACTGGCAGTGCTGAGGGAGCATGGAGCCGTGGGTTATGACCCCCCTCCCTGCTTCCTGATTGTTAAGGAAGCCAGGCTGCCTAGGAACAAGTAAAGCCGGCTTCCTAGCCAATCAGGAAGCCGGGAGGCAGGTCATGACGTGTTGCCTGGCTTCCCGATTGGCTAGGAAGCCTGCTTCATGTGTTGCTAAGCACCCTGGCTTCCAGACCAATCAGGAAGCCAGACGGCACCTCATGACTCGCCACCCTGCTTCCTGATTGGTCAGGAAGCCAAGCAGCCTCTGAAGCCGGTGTTCTTTCACTTCACAGGCAATCAGGATCCTGGGAGACGGGTCATGATCTGCCGCCTGACTTCCTGATAATCGGGGCATATTTGCATAGGTACCCATAGAACAGCGACTTCAGCCAGCCTGTCATTGATGTGCACAGTCTGGCTATATGCAACTGCCCCCCCCACCCCCACCAAAAGACCTTTTATTTCTCTATTGCATTGCATGCTGTCTTCCATTTTGCGCGATCAGGCACTGCGTTTTTCTCCCCATGAGGGAATGGCTTCCAGACGCATTTCCCGTAGTTGTAGTTAGCAGAAGGAGAAGTATGAGTAATTACGTCATGCTTCCGTCTGTGGACATGTACGATCGGCTGAGCATCTGGTCACGCCCAGCCCACAGCAAGTGATTGACCGCTATAATAATTATTGCTCTCGTCAGCACCGCAATGTGCCTCATAGACAAAAGGTAGATAGCCCTAAGCTCCACCCACATATGCACCCCCCTCCACATTGTGTATTATGTAGTGCTTATTTCCCCATGCGTTTTCATGTCCGGTGACAACCTATGTCCCCTCCCCTGCTACTGCAAGGGTGGCAGCCCTACTTAACCCCAAGGCACTGGGAGAGCACGGCTTTCAGACCATGTCCAAGCTTAACGTGCGAGGTCAAACTCCAAATTAAATAAACCGCTTCACCCTCCAGCTCGAACACAGGTTCACTGTAGAAAAAGGCATAAACAAACACACGTCAACAAGGGAGCCTTGACGCGTTTCACACAAAGCGCCTGCTTACAATTGAAGCACTTTGTGAGAAACATGTCGAGGTTCCCCTGTTAATGTCTGTTCATTTATGAACACCTTTTATTTCTACATTAAACTTACAGTCAAGCAAGTGAGCAGAGTTTTTTTTCCCCTTACATGAACTGTCAATGCTGCCAACAGAAGGGAGCAGCAGCAGTTCATACAAGCGCTGTCATGTGAACAATCTAAAAGTCGGTCAAGTTGAAAAAACATTTTCGAGTTCAGCCAGCAAGAAAAAAAAAAAAAAAAGGAAAACCTGCATCTATCGAACTCCAAACCCCTTCGATTCGGCGGCTGCGGCCTCCGACCTCTGTGTAGATCCAGTGTCGGCCGGGCTTGTGTATTACTGCCCTATAGACTTCTAAAAGGTCCATGTCCTGAGGCTAGAGAGCAAGGGAGACGGCCCCATAGAAGTCTATGGGCAAGTAATGCACTGGTGTGGCCAGGACATAAATACTAAAGGCCGCAGACGTTGGACTGAGGTAGGTGAGAAACTCTGGTAAAGGAAGGTCGGTTAGGTCAGGTTGGAGCAACAGGGAAAGGTGCATGTTGCTGTAAAGTGCCCTTATCCTTTAAGCTGAACAACTTTGCACCAAATTTACTATATGACCATTTACACTGAGTGGCCTTGGGCCATGAGATGACTCCACGAGATGGTGAAAGGTGATGCGAGGAATCTGACACGGCACTGTTGCCCTTCTGTTGTCTTGTACCAGTCTTGACACTCTCCGTTCTGCCCTAACATTGACTAGTCGCTGACGGCCACAATTCGCACGTTCAGACCCAGATTTTCGGCTGACAGTCCGGTCTTTAAACACTTTAACAACAGCTGCTCTTGAACATTTAACAAATTCTGCTGTTTTGCTGATACTCGCTCCATGGCTCCGAGCGCCAACAATCATCCCACGTTCAAAGGCTGTTAAATCGCGTTGTTGACCCATATCTTCAGAAACAAATCACTTCTACTGTCGTGGTAAACAACCTGCTTCCCTATTTATAATGGTCTGGCCCTCTAGCGACTTCAGCGCCAAATTATAGCTAATTTGCCTACAAATGTCAGGTCTGGCCACTCAGTGTATATATGACAGACAGTGCCAGGCAGAAGCTGCAACTCATCATTTTATCAGCTATACCCACCAGCACATTGCAGATCTCTTTATTACCTTACACACGGACGTGATGTTGATATTTATCAGCTTGTCCAGAGTCTACGAGAGAAAAACAACAATTAAATTGTATGTATGGGGAAATCAGAAACAAATACATCAGAGAGAAATCAGCAAGAGTCACAATGTATGCAAGAACGTCTTATAATAAAACATTCCTGGTGATCCTGCAGCGTTCATGATCATTGCCCCTTTAATTCGCAGTGCCTGCTCCACCAGGAATGAAGTCAATGGCATGCGTATTTCATTTTGCATCCGTCTTCTAGAAACGTAAATGCTAACCCATGGCTACATGTTAAGCTGAAAGATGCCAGCTGTACACCGAGTACTCACATTGTCCAGGTCTGGGATGTCAAGGAAATACTCTGGATACTCGTATGCAACTCCCACGTTGTTTACTGAAAAATAAGAGGAGGATGTTACATATCGGTCTATTCGGTTTTGCCTTACAAATGCACCTTGTGTGTTATGCAGAGGTAAAGCTGTATTAAAAGTACATTACAATTTGAGAAGAGGTGCGAGGACACATGGAACGTCACTGTGCGTCATTGTGCGTATTTTAAGCATGTTGGTCCTTGGATTATGTTTGATCGGAGAGTACTACGGCAGATACACGCCGTCCTTGAGTGTAGCCTACTCAGGGTCGGAAAGGATGTAAACACTATCCAGCCCTGGGCAGGCTGCAGTAATGAGACTGGCAACAGTACGTATCCAAGGGGTCAAAAACCAATCAAAAATGTTGATGAGGAGGGCTTGGGGATAGAATGAGCAATTATTAAACTCCCCACAGCTTTTCCGTGTAAGCTGAAGATATATGAAGAGGTACCCCTGGAAAAATGGCTACCATGTGCCTCCCTTTAACTAAATCTGTGCTCCTTGACCCAAAATATGCACACGCACAGACCAGTGAACTCCTGGTTTTCACGCTTGTTCTCGGTCAGTGTCTTAGAAAGTAGTAATACCATTAGATCAGAATGACAACCAGACACACAAGCATTTGTAGAGGGAAAGGACAGCATTGGCAGCCTCCATAGTTAAAGCAGCACGCTTCCTTTAAAGTAAACCTAGGAACAGTCTCCTCCAAGTGCTTGCAGGTATCCACTTATCACTTCCAAAGTTCCCCCAAACCCAAGGATTCTATACTATGCAAACCAGAGCTGGTATTGTGGTGTCCTTGCCGGCCAGCTGGGCCTCTCATTTCATTTGGTGGCCAATAGGGATGTGGGGGAGATGAGTGGAACCATGCCAGCTATTGTCCCTATATTGCATTATACTGCTCTGCACATTCGTAAAGCGGTGTACTTAAAAAATGTACAATACGTTCTCTACAGCAAGGGGCCTGCAAGTAAAATGAATGAAGGAAAGAAAAAAAAAGCCAGGAAGGGCGTTTGATTAAGTAATCTGTCAAAGTCACGTGACCAGCACCAGAGAACACTCCATACCAAAAACATTTTTTTTTTTTTAAAGTTAACAAAAAAGGTAATTCCTTACCCGTGTCTCCGCTGCTCGCTCCCGTCCGAAGATCTGAACATTCTCAAGGATGATGATGCAGGCGCATGCGCAGTAGAGATCTTCAGCCGGGAGAAGAGCAGAGACACAGGGTGAGTCAATGCAGGCAGCGTGCACCCGCACAGACTCCGTGGGACACAGAAGACGCAGCAGTCTGCGCTAGATCAGAGACCGGCACCAGCGCTGGAGGGACTCCTGAAAACTACTGGAAAGAAGGAGATTGGATCAAGAGGCATCATTTAGGGCCTTGGTTCTCAAATGCTGGGTCATGACCCAAAAGTGGGTCACCTCAGCCTCCCCCTAGCGCAGCACTGTCAGTTCTCATGCTGGGCAGCCATTCAGAATATACTGCCCGGTGCGGAGTGTCAGCTTGAGGTGAGGTGGGGTGGGCTGGTGCTGTAGAAGCAATGCACGTCTGGATGGAACTCTGTCACAGCACAGCATCCCGCACTGGACCCCAGGCTGAGGATCCACTCCAGTTCTCGTAAGGCAGAGAGACTGGGTGGATCTTAAAAAAATAAAAAATTTTTTGGAGTGTGTATGTGTGGGTGTGAGATTGAGCCTGTCAGTGTTTTTGAGGTCCCGCTCACACTAGTACAGTGCGTTAATCGCATAGTCCCATGCGATTAACGCACTGTACCATGGAAAAATCACACCTACCTACTGGTGCGGGAGGTGTTGCATTGCCATTCATTTGAATGGCACCCCAAGCGCACCTCACATCCACAGTTCGATTGTCCGCACCAGAACGCGCGGTACCGCAATGCTGTGTGTTTTAGGCCCCATTCACACAGGAATCAGCCTGGCCGTACAGCTCCGTGCCGCGTGCACAGTCGTATCGGGCAGCTCCCGGGAAGGACAGGTGCTGCGTGTGATTAGTACGCAGCCCCCGTCCTTCTCTATGGGACTACGCGGCCCTACACGTCCGTGCGGATGAGTGGACTCATACGCTGACAGGATGGATCCTGTCTGCGTCCCAGCTAGGAAACACGTACCCGCACGGACCTGCAATTGAGGTGAGTGTAGGGGGGGCGTATGCCCGCGTAGTCCCATAGAGAAGGACGGGGGCTGCGTACTAATCACACGCAGCACCTGTCCTTCCCGGGAGCTGCCCGATACGGCCGTGCACGCATCACGGAGCAGTACGTGCCAGCCAGTTCCCATGTGAATGGGGTCTTAGTGTAATACGCCTTGGGTCATGACTTAATGACCAAGGACAAATGTGGGATCTGAGGTTACACAGGTTGAGGAACCACTGATTTAAGGTAACTGCTTGCAAAAGATCTTTCTGTACATGAATTTCTTTCATTTGAAAGAACGTGAACGTTGGTTCCAAAAAATTCTGTGCATTGCTAAATATTAACATAATGATACTTCCAGGTACAAAAATAATGTGCCTATTCATGACGCAGATGGCGGCAAAAACCGAGAAACGACATCGATCGATGATAAAATGATTCGTTCGTTTCAGAAAAGACAAAAATATTTTGATGAACGTTCCATTGTAAACAACGTTTCTTACGTCTGCGGGTAGCCTAACACGTATTTATGAAGAGGATTCCGTTTTCTGTGCACTCGCTGTACATGCCGCACGCTGGCCACCAGATGGCAGCAAGTGCTAAGGAGAAGATCGCTGGTTTTTCCGCAGAATGAAAACACTTCCTGCTAGATCATCTAAACTCAACTGGATGATTCCCCAAAGCTGTCTATAGAAAAAGTGCAGAGACACAAAACCTACAGTAAAGCCGGAGTTTTGGAAGATTCTGGCTCGTGAACAAACACTGATGGTGCATGGGGAACGCTGAATTTTGGTATGTCCAGCGTTGCGTTAAAGTCCATACTTCAAAACAAGCTCTGCTCAGCACAGAATTCCCCCGGGGCTTTTATTTAATCACCAGGTGGTGATAATTGTGATAACAATGGGTGTCCAGTGGCTACCTGGGCAAGCGCAGGGTGGGGCAAGATCCAAAAGCCAGGTAGCCAAAATGTCTAAAAAAATTACATTCAGATCCTCCCTTTTCTCAGCTTTTTTAATGACATCAGAGGAAGCTCTGGCTCTCCGACTCCTTAAAGTGTAACTCCAGCCCCGCCTCCTCCTTAAAGCCCACCTTGGATCTATGATAAAAAAAAAAAGCCCATACATATTTTATATCCTGCAGTTTTCGGGATGGTCCGGTGACATCACAGGTGCTTCTGGTCTTTCTTTGGTGGTGGTAGGGGGAAATTCTTCCTCCTGGTGTTATGGCATGCGACCACATTCAGTCCAGGAGCTCAGGGGGCGTGTCCATGACAGCCTGTGCCCACAGGAAATGGGTTGCATGATGCTGGTTACCATTCAACCCAGAAGACAAGCAGTACTGGAACTTATAGCGTTTAGTCTGTGAGGATCAGTGCTGGAGAGAAGGTACGTACTGCAGCAAGAGCGGCTTTTTCTATTTCACAGATACATGGCAGCAAAGGAAAAAGAAAAAAAAACAGAACTGGACGTTAAAGTGTACCTGTCCCATGACCTGAAGAGTTATCTGGGTGTAGTCCTAGACTAGTCTAGATAGCCTAGACTAGCAGTCAGAAGCAGCAGTGCCTTTGATGACCTCACACTGCAGACAGACAGATTTGAGGTTCAAGGCACAGGAGTTCACTGCTAATTTTCAGGGGAAATTCAAGGCACAACGTAAATTTTTCCAGGGTTCTGTGATTTCCACTCACCTCATAGTTCTAGCCGACCTGTGACAATGAGACTGTCACAGGTCGGCTCAGTAGATCGGGAGGTGAACGACACATACCGGCGTTCGCTCACTTCTCGATCCTGTCACGGCTCTCTGCCATGAAAAAAGAAGGGGCTGGATTCCCCCCTCCCCGCTCCGATCCGCCAGCGCTGACTGGCGGAACGGACGGGGGAGGGGGTCGGGTACAGCTGGCTCTGCCTCTAGATAGGCAGAGCCAGCTGTCACTCACGCAGCTGGGCGGATCTCGACATCGATGTCGGGATCCGCTCCGGCGTCTCAGTTTACCGCGAGCTGTAGCTCTCTATATACTGAGCCTAGGGTGACAGGAGGATGCTAGTTTGTGTCCTCCCGTTACCCTAAGGAGAACTATGGGGAAATACACTGACCCCATAGTTCTCCTTTAACATTCCTAGATATTACATTACAGTGACAAAGCTCACTCTCCGTACTGCATCTATGGAAAGCAAGGTTGTCAACCCAAGGCAGGAAGTGTGTTAGAACTATACTGTAGTCCACAGAGTTGAGCTGGTCAGGACTGATTACAGTGCGGCAGAGGTAGAGAGTGTACAGGAAACTACAAGCATACTGGACCTTTGGCGGGATCAGCAGGCATTTTGTTGCCCCTATCAAAGACATAACAAATTCCTTTCATATTTAACAGGCCAAAAAGGAAGCAGCTAATTATGATTGTTAAGGTTTACATACCCCCTATATGGTATCTCTGAAAGTGAAAACTGAACAAAGGGTCCTATGACCAAATCCCATAATCAGTTTTTACTCACCAAGGACTCCAATTTCAAGACCTCGCAGTCCAGCCTCAATGCGCTCATAGATCTCTGTAGTTTTCCCAAAATCTGCTGCAATTACTTTGGTTTCCACGTTGAACTTTTCACCTAAGGATAAATAAACAAAATAAACAGATATATTAAATGGTTCTGATGCATTAAATCAGTGCTGGCATGTGTATAGGAGCTTTCAGACAGAAGCCGCAGGATATGGCATCAGCCTCTTGCAGCCAGGGGCATTACCAGGCCGAGGGTCACCCGGCACAGGTCATTAAACACGCACATTATGTTTGCGCGTAATGCCGTCGTGTGCACTTCACTGCCGGCGGCCATCTTGGCGAAGGCTGCCAGCAAAGAGAGGAGGGTGGACGTTCATCTGGCAGGAAAAGATATGCCGCTGGGTCCCCTCCTCTCTTGCGCAGCTGTCAGGCTCTTGGTCCATGACCCCCCCCCCCGACTTTTCAGAGGGGGGCGAGTCCAGAATGACTGTCGGTCATTTTGGTGTCACCCCCTCTGATGGTGTCACCTGGTGCGGGCCGCACCCCTCTTATGACACCTTTGCTTGCAGCCCTAATGCAGCAGAGCTCTGCCTGGAAAAGTGAGAAGCAGAACAAGGAGCCAAATCAGTTGTATTGAAGTGCAAGAAGCATGTCGACAGGATCAGATAAACTCATCGCTCTGCTGCTTCTCCTTTCACTGTCCAGTCACGGGCTGGGGGAGGGACAAGACCTGTAATTGCTGCTGAATAGCAGCAGAGAAAAAGGCAGGTCTTCTCCCCTGTCAGATAGGGCTGTACTGTTATGCAGATCTGTATCAGTCTCAGGACTGGATAGACAAAAATACAAATACTTCAGCAGGTAATTTAACTCTCTTGTATGTATTTCATGTGTGTATTTAGTGGTTTGCCTTATTGTCCCTCTCCGCTCTGGTTTGTGGACTGTCCCTCAGCAGCCTCACATACAAAGCAGGGCTATAGGCCCTGCATTGTACGCGATATCAGCGGACCTCCGACCACGAGCGCATAAGAGGCTGCGGGTGCCCATCTTAGAGCCTGTGGGAGAAGGGATCAGGTAAGTCCTTTACACAATACCCCTAAACAATAATAAGCATTTCATCCAATTTTTAAGCTAGCCATGCCCCCTAAAACCTATCCCCAGGGGGAGGGGAGGTATGGGGACTCCTTTTGCAGTGCGGAGCCCCTTCCCCGGGGATAGGTTTTACGGTGCATAGCTGGCTTAAAAACCAAATTAACTTTTGTCTAGAGGTATTGTGTAAAGCAGTGGTTCTCAACCTCAGGACCCACATTTGTCCTCGGTCATTAAAAGGTGAATTATGAGGCGAGTGATTTTCACTCAGACTCATAATCTGACCTGACCTGTGACAAGGAGACTGTCACAGGTCGGCTCAGTAGACCGGGGAGTGAACACATACCGTCGCTCGCTCACTTCTCGATCTATCCCTGCAGAGAGCCGTGCCTGTCACTCATGGCTCCCTGCATGGATTCCCCCCCTCCCTCCCCGCTCCGATCCTCCAGCGCTGACTGGCGGAACGGACGGGGGAGGGGCACAGCTGGCTCTGCCTCCAGATAGGCAGAGCCAGCTGTCAATCCCGCAGCTGGGTGGATCCAGACACCTAGAAAAGTGGAAGGCATGTGGCGACGCACTGAACACGGGGCCGCGACCCACTTTTGGGTCACAACCCACCAGTTGAGAACCAAGGGTTTAAAGGATTTACCACCCCACCCCGGGGGATAGGTTTTAAAGGTACATGGCCAAATCAATGCAAACACTGCCTTGTCTCTTGTGCTTCCCTTTAACAGCTATATACAAAAGATATGGAAACCTTAAAACCTATCCCCAGGGTGAAAGGGGTTTGGGGACTCCCCTTGCAGTGTGGAGCCCCTTCTCGGGGATAGGTTTTAAGTGCATAGCCAGCTTATTTACCTAATTAGCTGCTCCTTTTTGTCTAGGGTACTGTGTAAAGGACTTACCTGATCTCCCCCCTCCATTCCCAGAAGTAGGTTTTAAGGTACATGGCCAAATGAAAGCAAAAAAAATTGGATATTCTCATGCACTTCCCCTTAACAGCTATATACAAAGATATGGAAACCAGTTTGATGGGTCTGGGTAGCACCATACATGATGCTAGGTCCTACCATACATGATGCTAGGTCCTACCTTACATGATGCTAGGTCCTACCTTACATGATGCTAGGTCCTACCTTACATGATGCTAGGTCCTACCTTACATGATGCTAGGTCCTACCTTACATGATGCTAGGTCCTACCTTACATGATGCTAGGTCCTACCTTACATGATGCTAGGTCCTACCTTACATGATGCTAGGTCCTACCTTACATGATGCTAGGTCCTACCTTACATGATGCTAGGTCCTACCTTACATGATGCTAGGTCCTACCTTACATGATGCTAGGTCCTACCTTACATGATGCTAGGTCCTACCTTACATGATGCTAGGTCCTACCTTACATGATGCTAGGTCCTACCTTACATGATGCTAGGTCCTACCTTACATGATGCTAGGTCCTACCTTACATGATGCTAGGTCCTACCTTACATGATGCTAGGTCCTACCTTACATGATGCTAGGTCCTACCTTACATGATGCTAGGTCCTACCTTACATGATGCTAGGTCCTACCTTACATGATGCTAGGTCCTACCTTACATGATGCTAGGTCCTACCTTACATGATGCTAGGTCCTACCTTACATGATGCTAGGTCCTACCTTACATGATGCTAGGTCCTACCTTACATGATGCTAGGTCCTACCTTACATGATGCTAGGTCCTACCTTACATGATGCTAGGTCCTACCTTACATGATGCTAGGTCCTACCTTACATGATGCTAGGTCCTACCTTACATGATGCTAGGTCCTACCTTACATGATGCTAGGTCCTACCTTACATGATGCTAGGTCCTACCTTACATGATGCTAGGTCCTACCTTACATGATGCTAGGTCCTACCTTACATGATGCTAGGTCCTACCTTACATGATGCTAGGTCCTACCTTACATGATGCTAGGTCCTACCTTACATGATGCTAGGTCCTACCTTACATGATGCTAGGTCCTACCTTACATGATGCTAGGTCCTACCTTACATGATGCTAGGTCCTACCTTACATGATGCTAGGTCCTACCTTACATGATGCTAGGTCCTACCTTACATGATGCTAGGTCCTACCTTACATGATGCTAGGTCCTACCTTACATGATGCTAGGTCCTACCTTACATGATGCTAGGTCCTACCTTACATGATGCTAGGTCCTACCTTACATGATGCTAGGTCCTACCTTACATGATGCTAGGTCCTACCTTACATGATGCTAGGTCCTACCTTACATGATGCTAGGTCCTACCTTACATGATGCTAGGTCCTACCTTACATGATGCTAGGTCCTACCTTACATGATGCTAGGTCCTACCTTACATGATGCTAGGTCCTACCTTACATGATGCTAGGTCCTACCTTACATGATGCTAGGTCCTACCTTACATGATGCTAGGTCCTACCTTACATGATGCTAGGTCCTACCTTACATGATGCTAGGTCCTACCTTACATGATGCTAGGTCCTACCTTACATGATGCTAGGTCCTACCTTACATGATGCTAGGTCCTACCTTACATGATGCTAGGTCCTACCTTACATGATGCTAGGTCCTACCTTACATGATGCTAGGTCCTACCACACATGATGCTAGGTCCTACCACACATGATGCTAGGTCTACTTTATAAACAAACGGCCAAGCAAACCCGACGGGGAAGGGAGAAGAAAAAAAAAAAGGAGCTTTCATTGACTTAATTCATAATAAACCAGTGCAGAGGAAAATGGGAAACGTTGTCCATCACCTTCATCAGATACCGGGGGGAGTATTTTTAGAAAGCGGGATTAAGAATCGGGTTGCTATGAACGACGCCTCCGCCCCATCCCTTTCCCCCTCCGCAAACCTAATCCATTGATTGAAATCGTTTCATCAAGCAAGTTGCATCCCCTGCTGCAGCCTGAAGTCACGATACAGGCACATGAATCGGCTGGGAAGCGTGCCTCCCCTCTCACAACGCACATTCTGTATCTGCCTCTTTTTTTTTTTTAATGAAAGGCAGAAAGAAAACTAAAAAGAGGAGAATAGCCGGATCCTTGCCTATAGATTTGTTTTAGTATGGAGGCTATGTGAGGACAGGCAGGCTGCGTCTTCGCTGCTCTGTAATACTCATCGCCCTTTTGCTCCTTTCAGAAAGCTTTGCCTCTTTTGAAGAACAATGCCGTTTTTGCTGCTCCCTATCATACCCAGCAGTGAAATGGTTAATTGGAGGCTGCACGATATAAGCACTGGATAGCCACTGAGCCGTGATATATGTACAGGACAGCAGTAAGGGGAACGTGACAGCTGACTGCCACGTAAACTGCTTAATATCTACGACTTGGTCTGAAGAGACAAGCTGAATCATCCGCCCCCCCCATCAAAATAGCTCTCCGTGACAGGTACCCATAAAAGGTGAACGCCAGGCAAATAAAATACACTTAAGGAAGAGCAGCAGACCGATGAGCTCTTCTGTTACTCTCCTCTGATCAGCATGCTCCTTATTAGCACAATAATTGGCTCCATATGCTGCTTCTCCCCCTTTCAATCTGAGCTCTGCTGTACAGGGAATGCAAGAGGCTGATACCAAGTCCAATTCAGGTGCTTACACGGCTTGCATTTAAAAAAACAACATTAAGGCTACATACACGAGAGCCTCCTGCGTTTGTTTTATTTTAACAGAGAATTGATCTGGGGGGTATGAACAAACTTTATGTATATGCAGGAGAAAGTGATGGGGGAAATAGAGACGCATTGAGAGCATCTCATCTGCCCTCAGACGCACAGATTTCAATTTTCCGAAATGCGAGTGATCTAAATGCACCTAAATCAGGGGTGGGCTACTCCAGCCCTCTAGCTATTGTGGAACTACAAGTCCCATGAGTCGTTGCAAGACTGACAGTTACAGGCAGAAGCAGAGTCATATTGGGGATTGTAGTTAAAGCACAGCTGGAAGGCCAGAGATGCCCAAGGATCAGTATGGCAGCCAGGCAAC